GGCATCACCCCTCGACCAAAAGGGGGGAGGGCGGCATAGGAAAATTTGAGTTTGGCGGTTTGGCGAAGGCAGTGTCCTGCGGCCCCAAGAATCTAAACCCTAAACGCGTAAACCCTAGAGCCCTAAACCCAAATTCCTTAAACCGTAACTCCGTAGAATTTATACACCCTAAACCCTGAACGCTTAAGTTAAGCACCACCTGATCAGGCACTACATGCCCGGGGCATTTGTCTATTCTGGGCCACTCTAAGCCCCAGCCGCCCTTGTGAACGGTTTAAGTATGAGGGCCGTCACATTCTACAGAGCTGAACCAAACCCAAACAATGCTCCTCCCTCCCTAAACCCTAAACCCTAAACCCTAAACCCTAAACCCTAAACCCTAAACCCTAAACCCTAAACCCTAAACCCTAATCCGATACTTCTTACAGCCGGGGAAATATCAACCCACATATAGACCCAACAGTGGGAGTTGTTGCATATGGGTCTTTGTTAAAATTCAAGGGTACCTTAGCTCGGGCCGTTTGTGAAAAACAATCCTACCATTTGGGGGTTTGGGCTCCCCTATTGAACACCTGGGTTTAGGGCTTAGGGTTTAGGGCTTAGGGTTTAGGGTTTAGGGTTTAGGGTTTAGGGTTTAGGGTTTAGGGTTTAGGGTTTAGGGCCTGGCAACATCTATTGCAGAATGATTACTCTCCGGCCTGTCTAGCGGCCGACGCTTCAGGGTCAGGCGTTGAGAGTTTCAGGAATACAAAACCATACCCAACTCCACCCCAAGACTTCGAATAAGAGTCTTCGGCGCAGCCCCCAACCCGAAAAGAACTAAAACCCTAAAATTTACAACCCTCGAGCCTGACCTAAACCTTCGACAACAAGGCTAAAACCTAAAATTGGTAGTTCTCTAACTTAGTGTCCCTTTTGGGAGTCCTGTTTATAAGGGTGCCGTACTATTGTGGGGCCTAAAAGGGTACCCTAATCTAAGGAACGACCTATATAGAACCCTTATACGTACTAACCTTACAGAAGCCCCTGCACAAACCCTTGTAGATGCCGTTAAGGAACCCCAAAACAGGGACCCTAGTTTAGAGAACTATCCCTATAAACCCTAAACCCTTCAATGATTCAAGCAAACCCCAAAAGTTGAGGGTTCGCCTAAACCCTAGACCCTTAACCCAAAAAGTTGAGGGTTCGCCTCAACCCTAGACCGTAAACCCGAAAAACGAGAGTTCCCCAAAGCCCTACTAAAGGCGCCCCCAAAATGGCAAGCCACTCGTCCGAAGCTCCAGAAGCTCCGCCAGGGACAAGAACCTCAGCATTTAGGCTTTAGGGTATAGGGTTTAGGGTTCGGGGTATGGGGTTTAGGGTTTAGGGTTTAGGTGCTAAGCCCCCTAAACCCTAAACCCTAAGCCCTAAACCCGAAATGATGTGTTGTGGGGGCTTCGCGGAGTTTAGATGGGCTTCGAGTTGAGAGATGAGCTTCCAGGGCGTTGAGTGTAGGGTTTCGGCTTTGAGGTTTAGGGGTTTAGGGTTTAGGGTTTCGGCTTTGAGGTTTAGGGGTTTAGGGTTTAGGGGTTTAGGGGTTTAGGGGTTTACGGCTTAGGGTTTAGGGTTTAGGGTTTAGGGGTTTGGGGCTTAGGGTTTAGGGTTTAGGCCCTAGGCTTTTTAAGAACAGGGTTCTGAGCTTGAGGCTTTCAACACGAAGGCTTATGGTTCAGGGTTTTGGGGTTACGGGCTTAGGGTTTAGGGCTTTGGGGGTAAGGGTCTAAGGCTGGGAGTTTTAGGGACTAGGAATTCCTCCTCCTCCTCCTCCTCCCGTATGGTTCGTTATGATGTTTCAAGAGGACTGCTTAAACGACTGGAAGCACCATATTCGGCGTCGAACGTCAATAGAATGCTAGATACTGAAGATGCTTGCGACTATCTCTTGGGTTAGGATTGGTTTGGGTTCAGGTGTAGGGTTTAAGGTTTAGGGCTCGGGGGTTTTACGGTACAGATGTCGGCGCCGAACGACATTGACTTCTCCGGCTGTTCACAACTCCAAAGTGCTAAACCCTGAGCCCTTTTGGTTTAGGGTTTAGGTGATCAAGAAGCTGGGTGAGTAGGTTAGGTATGGTTGCACCCTTCAGTGGCTAAGCTAAACCCCCTCATGAGACAATTAGGGTTGAGGGTTTTTTGCCCTGTAACAAGCATCCAACACGCTTTCCTCGGCACCTCGCGTTGCTACAGCAGAGAGGTCATGTCTGGTGAGGCCGACCTGACATACCAAGTGCCTACTATGGCTTCGGGTGTGGGGCTTGCGGTTTAAGGATTTGCTTTGAGTTTGAGGTTAAGGGTCTTGGGTTCAGGGCGTTGGGTTTAGTCCTTTGAACTCTGTGTTTCGGGACTTCAACTTAACATCCGGAATCGCAGATTCAACCCCTTCCTCGGGTGCAGGTTTGCACTGTGAGGGCTGTAGGGTTTAGGGTTTAGGGTTCGTCCTCCCTAAACCCCCTCAACCCTAAACCCTTAACCCACGTGCAGGCTGCGCCCTCCTTCTAACTTTCTTGATGCCTGAACCCGTTTAGGGTTTAGGGTTTAGGGCAAAAAACCCTCAGCTTAAGCCCTGAACCCTGGCCGTAAGCCCAAATCGAAAACTTCAACATAAGGGGTTTAGGGTTGAGGGTTTAGGGTTTACGGTTTAGTAAACCCCCCAAACCCTACACACTGACTCCCAAAGAACTGAAACCTCCCCCAGGAGGAACCCTCGCTCCGAAAAGTCCCAAGTCTTGATGCCTCTTGCTTACGGGGGTAGGCTGCAGGGTCTTACGGTTTAGGGCTTTTAGGGTCTGAGGGTGATTTTTTGTTGAGCTCATTTTCCCCTCAGAAGGTCTAAGGGTTTAGAGTTGACGGTTTAGGTGGTTCAGGGTCTTAGGGCTTAGAGCTTCAGGGCTCTGGTTTGGCGGTTGTATAGAGGGTGCTCAAACTTTCCCGGGCATTGGCTTCAGGGTCCTTCCTGCGAATCTTCTATGACTGGCACTGTTGCTGCGAGGACCCGTCTGAATGTACTCTCATCGTCGTCGTAGTTCCCTCGATATCCTTCTCGCCATGCTTCGACGGTTTGGGGTTGCCTTCAGGCTAGCTACGGAGCCGTGTAAGGGCTCCTCTGATCCTCTTTGATAAAGCGTTATCGCAAAATCTCAAAGCCTACACGACGTGTAGGGACACTCTACCCAAACATACCCGAACCCCTCGCCCTGCGCTGCAGATTTTCACGCGGAACAGCCACCGGCTCGCACTGCGCTTTGTCAACGAACAAGCCGGCGCCGGCGACATTAACACGCGAGCTGGAATCTCTAAGCTGTACTTAAAGGATCATGGGACTTACTAAGTAGGGTTATAACTAAAGTAACTATACTTATAACCCCAATTAGGGGACTTATAACCTTACTTACTAAGTCCCATGATCCTGTAAGTAACTGAGCCCTAAAGAACCTACAGACTTAGGGTTCCTTGTTGCGATGTCCTTAAACTTTAGGGTTTAGGGTTTAGGGTTTAGGGTTTAGGGTTTAGGGTTTCTTAAACAAATCCTTGAAAACGTAGGTTATTTAGTGTCTAGGTAACCCTAAGGTATACATTATAAGCCCTAAATTAAATTAGGGTCCCTTTTAGGGTCCTTCTTCTAAGGGTGCCGTCCTATGTTGGGGACCTAAAAAGGGAACTATCCATATGTCCACACTCCACAGGGGTAATACCACGAATTGAGGGTTTAGCGATTTGGGTTTACTGCGCCGGGCTTATGCTCTAAACCCTAAACCCTCAACCCTAAAACCCTAAGCCCTAAACCCTAAACCCCAAAACCCTAAACCCTAAACCCTGGTTAGGGTTTAGGGATCGACAGATGGAGTCAGGAGGCAACTGTGGGCTGCGGAGTGGGGATCCGGAGTTGCAGGTTTCAAGCTGGCAATATAGGGGCCTTGTTGATTGAATGGGGCTTTTTGGGTTGGGGATGGTATGGTATGGCGTATAGTATAGTATAGTATAGTATAGCATAGTATAGTATAGTATAGTATAGTATAGTATAGTATAGTATAGTATAAAGGGAATACTATCTTTACATAAGTATTCTGACCCCCATTACCTACAAAAGCCTTGCCGAATTGTCGTTCCTCTCTGTTGAGCCTACACAAAACGCAAACAGACTATAAAACTCTATACTCGACCACCTCAAAATAGAGTAATGTAGGGACATTGATAAGTGCCTATACCATTTTGTATCAAGAGGGTGGTCCTTATTATAATTATGGTATAATAATATACCTCAAAAGCCCAGTCCAATGATTCTAACGCCCCTACATTAGGCTGAAACCGAAGGAGTTGTTCGACACCGGCCTAAACCCTAAACCCTAAACCCTATAACCCTATAACCCTAAACCCTAAACCCTAAACCTAATAGAGGGGATCAGGGCCCCTAGAAGCTCCCATCACGTAGAGAACCCATGGTCGCTCGCCGAGGTCACCCTAAGAAACCCTAACCCCCAGAACAGAACCCTAAACCCTAATTACCGAAAACCCGAAGTTTTAGGGCTTTTAAGGTTTAGGGTTTAGGATTTAGGGTTGAGGGATTGAAACCCTAAACCCTAGAAGCCCTAAGCCGGAAAACCCACACCATATACCCCAAAAGAGGGGCCCGGGAGTTCAACCCCCAGCTTCGTCCAAGTCGTCGAAGTCGAAGAAGCCACCTGTAAAGGGGTTTGGGGGTTGGGGGTTTAGAGGTTTAGGGCCTAGAGTTTAGGGTTTAGGCTTTGGGGGTTTAGGGTTTGGGGCCTATTTCCCTCGGTTCAAGGATTTTTCTTTAATTGCAAGGCAAAGCCTAAACCCTAAACCCTAAACCCTAAACCCTAAACCCTAAACCCGAAAGCCCAGACCGTTTAGTCTCCCTGTTCCGCGATGCTCCTCGCTCGAAAGATCAGGTGCTGAGGCACTACCGTTTACACAGCATCCAAAAAGATCTTCTAACCCATAGATAATTTCCTTATCTGATTCCAGGTAATGCCTGCGCAACTCACGTTTTCAGTTGGGATCTGGGGTTCTGGATAGTTTAGGGTGTTGGGGTATGATTTAGGTGGAGAAACTCCGCACAATTGTGATAGTGAGACGGCCAGCAGGAACCCTGAAATAACTCGCATGGACTGCGTATGGGGGCATATGTAGCTTCAGCGATGTGCAATAGTAAGCATGTTCTTGCAAAGTCCTCTAAGTCATACAGGGACGGGGCGGCAATCGTTCTCTCGCCCCTTACCTCCTACACTTCGCCCTAATTATGCCGCGTTTTCGAGGAGGCTCGTTGCTGTTTCTTCTCTTGCTGCAGAAGCCAACAACCATTCTGAAGCTACAGTCCTAAACCCTAAACCCTAAACCCTAAACCCTAAACCCTAAACTACAGTATGCATTGGCAACTGTAAACATCCCCAGGCCCGAAACCCTGAAACCCCAACTTCCTAAGCCCTAAACTCCCTAAACTCCCCTGAACCCTAAACCCTACACTCCCTCCATCCCCAAACTCACCTCCTAAACCCCAAACCCCTACACTTAACCCTAAACCCTAAACCCTAAACCCTAAACCTTCCAAGCCTTAAACCCTCTTTTTGAGGGCACCTCCGGATGGCTTGACCTCCTGTTCGTCCTCGGATGCTCGGCCAGCCTAGGGTTTAGGGTTTAGGGTTTAGGGTTTAGGGTTTAGGGTTTAGGGTTTAGGGTTTAGGGTTTAGGGTTTAGGGTTTAGGGTTTAGAGATTAGGGTTTAGGGTTTACGGTTTAGGGACTAGGGTTTAGGGTTTAGGGTTTACGGTTTAGGGCCTAGGGTTTGTCTGAAGGTTTTCTCGGAGTTATGGTACGCTTATAGGGAGTGGAAGCTGACTGCACTCCCGTTAAGGTTTAGGGTTTACAAAGGCTTGAGGTATGGGTTTTCGGGTTTTGAATTCAGGGTAAAGGGTTTAGGGTTTAGGGTTTTAGGGTTGAGAGTTTTGGATTTGCGATACTAGGTTCTGGGTTTGGGGCCGAGTGCGTGTGTTTGAGGCTCAGGCTTCAGGGTTTGGGGTTTAGGGTTAAGGATTTAGGGTTGAGGGTTTTGGGGTTAGGGTTTCGGGCTTAGGGTTTTGCATGGCTTGAGGGCTTCTGCCCCTGGTCAGGGGCTCGTGGCATTCACTTCGACAGATTAGGGATGTGACGTCGATTGCTGTTGCTGCCATTCCCATATAACAACCTAGTACCAAGATTCAAGACATGCGTGCTCGCCAAAATCCTGAAAATAGACCCTACTTGATAAATATTGAAGGCCGCGGTAGCTGTAGCACTTAGGGTTTAGGGTTTAGGGCTTAGGGTTTAAGGAGCAGACCATGCACCTCGTTTTCGCCACACTCCGCAGCGACCACGGTGTCTTGCGAAGCCTGAGTGTGAAGTTGACTTGGGAGTTATAGGATTTAGGGTTTAGGGTTTAGGGTTTAGGGTTTAGGGTTTAGGAATTAGGGTCTAGGGTGACTTGGGAGTTATATGGGTAGTTTTCTAAATTAGGGTCCCTTTTAGGGTCCTTTTTATAAGGGTGCCGTACTATTTGGGGGGCCTAAAAAGGGACCCTAATTTAGAGAACTACCCATATACAGCAAACTCGCGACCCTAGTACAGACCCTCAGTGAATTTCTGAAAGGGCTTCATCGAGGCTTTCGTCAAGGCATTACAGGGCTTTGAGGTGTCGCACCCTTGGGGTTCAAGACTGGTTCAACATCAAAGCTTCCTGCCGGCTGGCAGCAGACGTTCATGACGGATGAGCTGGCAGGCGCAGCACTTCAGTTCTGCACCGTAAACCTCAAGCCCCAGCCATAAACCCTTTTGGGTTTATGGTTTCTAATCCTATGCCTTAATTTCCACAATCTTGCAAACTAAGCCCTCAACCAAAACCCAAAACCAAACCTTAAGCACTGAACTAAACCCTAAACCGTAAACCCTGAACCCGTAAACCCTAAGCCCTTAAGCCCTGAACTAATCCCTAAACCGTAAGCACTAAACCCTTAAACCTTAAGACCTAAACCCTCAAGCACTGAACTAAACCTAACCCCTGGACCTGAAACCCAAACCCTCAGACCTGATAAAGCAAGATAAAACTTATCCTACATCCTGAAACCCAAAACCTAGACACTGAAACCCCATACTGTTGATAGCATAGATCCTACCATTACCTTAAGGACCCTAAACTCTGGGAATTATGGTACATTCCTTATTATGGGTAGTGCAGGATTGATAACATCTACCCTATCCTACAGCCTGAGAACCACCATACCAAAAAACCGGAAGCCTGAATGCGAAGTACGTTACTACCCGTGATCCTAAAACCCCAAAAAACCCTATACCCTAAACTCCTGCACCCTGAACCCTGCACGCAAAACCCTAAATCTTAAACCCCTCTATACACCGCCATAGGATTCGGTCCTACAAGCTCCTTCAAACCCCTCAGAACCCCCTGTTTATAACCTGCATGAACCTCTGGGAACCTGTTGAGATTCCAAAACCTTAGGGTTGAAGGTTAAGGGTTTAGGCTTTAGGGTTTAGGGTTTAGGGTTTAGGGTTTAGGGTTTAGGCTTTAGGGTTTAGGGTTTAGGGCAAAAACTGCACACTCCTATGCACACCTGAAGCCCGAAAACACTGGAGATGGCCCGCCGAAGAGCATCTTCGTGCCCTAGCTCGCCGGCAACAACGTCCTGTGGAGCCTGGGGTACTGGACTCTAAAGTAACCAGGGAGCCAAAAAGTATACAAGTCTAGTTGAGAATGGTTCGTTTTAGGAAAAAAGTCCAAAATCTTACAGTGTGGAACTCCAGAACCCAGAGTAGTGACAAGACGATGGGGCTTCACGGTGTGAAGGTATGAGTTTTTTGTTTCGAGTTTAGGGTTTAGGGTTTAGGGTTTAGGGTTTAGGGTTTGGGGTCTAGTGTCGGAAAGCCTCAGGCGAATATTCCAAGATTTGCGGCTTTGGGGCTTGAGGGTCTGACCTACAACCCTAAACCCTCAACCCAAACCCCTAAACCCTAAAACCACAAATTCCTAGCCCTTAAGCCCGAGCCCCGGACCTGAACCGATACCTCTATCGTCACAAGGTCCACTATAGTATATTATGGCGGTACATTATAGTATATTGTGGTATATTATGGTATACCACGGTATATTATAGTATATAGGATGGTCTTCTTCGCGGTTCAACTTAATGCGACGATGTGAGATAGGAGGCTGCCTGTTCCTGTGAGACATGCGGCGTACGAATCGATGTCTTTTTAGTTGTCGTTCTCCCGTTTAAGCGGCCACGGTCGCCTCAGTCAGCGCCGTCAGCTGTGTGTGCACGCCGTTGGAAGGTTCGAGCAGGCACACTGGAAGGAGTCCATGCCATGGAGAGACCGCGACTTTATTAAAACTTGGACCAGAAGACAGGGTAAACCCTAAAACCTAAAGCAGGGTAAGTGTGTGAGGCACTGTTTGCTCCAGTTCACTAATGTACCACAGGGCCTTCATAGTTCGACCAGGGTCTTGGGGTATCTTAGGGCTTAGGGTTTAGGGTTAAGTGTCTTGGGGTATCTTAGGGTTTAGGGTTTAGGGTCTTGGGGTATTCTTAGGGTTTAGGGTTTAGGGTCTTGGGGTATCTTATGCTATGATCGTAATCAGGAACCCTAAGGAATAGTGCTCGAAGGCACCAAAATCCAAGAGTTTGAAAGTCTGGCTCGGGATGCTTTGGCAACATGATAACTAGATCCAGACATATCAGGGCAGCTTCAGAACGGCGAGAGCCTGAGATTCTGGTTTGGGATCGTTTAGGTTCAGAGATATCTGGGCTACTGTACCCGATACTAATGCCAGTGAGGCCGCATCTGACTTCACCGCGACACTCGAGACCGACCAGCTCATAAAAGAGTCTGCGAGTCTGGAAGCCCCCACCCCTCTCCGCACGCACACAGGCGCGAGGGCGCTCAAAGCCGTACCTCTCTGGAAGATCTCAGCAGAATCATGTTTGCCTGCCTGCGCAGCTTTGGTTCGATGACGATGAGACGATAGAAGTGATAGCTTTGGTGCCAATGTAAGCCAGCCACTAGGCATGACACACAAAGCTAGATGACCCGTCTGTGGGCCGAGGAAGCGGCCTCTGCTGTGCCAGACATGGAGAAAGCACCATGTGCCATGCAAGAGGCGACGGAGGTACGTTTTCAAGGGAACCCTTGCTGTAAAGATGAAGCAACAACCTCGTCCTTCACGGCGGGCCTGCTGCAAGGGCCTTCATAATTTGAATAGGGTTTCGGGGTATGTTATACTGTAGTTGTGATAAGGAGCCCCCACAATCGCATAGGTAATTATCTAGGCCCCCTGCATTACACCCGAAGGCTCAAACTTCAAGCTGGACGACCTCCGGAAAACCCCCCAAACCCTAAACCCGAAACCGTCCGAACAAGGCAGAGGGGTCAGGGATCGGTTCTCGGGACCCTAAAACCCAAACCTCGTAATACAGTTCTCTAAACTCGATAATGGTTCCTCCAAGAGGTTCCTTTAATAGGTTCCTTTGAGGGGTTCCTTTAAGGGGTTCCTTTAATGGGTTTCTTTAAGGCTCATGTGCATGTGTGGCACCTCGGTCTGCACAGGTCGCGTCTCATAGGGCGTCGGCGAGTCTGCAACAGAACGCCGAAGCCTGGAAAGAACACGGGCGCCACCTAATATAGCGGCCTCAATAATATAATAAGAGCTGGGTCTTTAAAGAGCTGTATGAAAAGGTTTCATAAGAAATCGGCATCACTGTGCGACCTCTCTCAAGAATCCTCTAGGGGCACCAAAAGGGGCACAGTATAGGGCCCTTAATCATTAGAATAGGAATTTTGGAGTATACTCTAACTGGACTTTCATAACCTTATAAGAAACCCTAGAAATCGTAGTTCTAAGCTTTCGGGCTTCTTCGCCTTTTAGCCCAATGTAAACCCTAAACCCTAAACCCTACACCCTAAACCCACGAGCCGCCTGGATGGAATGTGGGGTTGCGCCGACGGCCGCAAGTGATGCGCTACCTTTCAAGGCAAAACAGTACGGTTTAGGGTTGAGGGTTTAGGGTTTAGGGTTTAGGGTTTAGGGTTTAGGGTTTAGGGTTTAGGGTTTAGGGTTTAGGGTTTAGGGTTTAGGGTAGGGCCCCCAAAAAGCACATAAGCAAAAATTAGGATAGGGATATCCCATATAAACCCCCGTATAATGAAACCCAATAAGGTAGGGATATCCATATAAAATGCTTATGCTTACGTCTTTTTTGGGTTCCTAAAACAGAAAGCCCAGGGAACACCATCGAGTTGCTCGCCACTAGTAGACAGGTTAGGGTGTAGCGTTTAGGGTTTAGGGTTTGGGTAGCCCAAGCTGCAGCAGCGGCAGCAGCAGCTGGAGTAGTTGTAGCAGTGGAGCGTTTCTAGTTGCCGTAGCAGTGGCAGCAGCAGTAGCACTAGCAGCAGCAGCAGCAGCAGCAGCAGCAGCAGCAGCAGCAGTGGCACTGGCAGTCTCACTAGGAGTTAGCATTAAGGGGACCCTTTCGGGAAATAGACCCTTTTAGAGGGCCAGAAGTAGGGGTTCAGAAGGGTCCCCGTTAAGGGGTCTCCCTTGTGCTACCTAAGATTAGCTGTACCAATATCAGTAATGTAGGGGCTTTATAAATTAGAATAGGGTTTGGGGGGGGTTCCTTATTATTATTATTATAGCATAATATACCCGCCCTATTCTAATTATCAAGGCCCCTATACTAGTCGTTGTCGCTGTAGCAGCAGCAGCAGTCACGAATTTAGGGTTTAGGGCTTAGGGCTTAAGGCTTAGGGTTTAGGGTTCAGGGCTTCGGCTTTAGGGTTTAGTGATAACCCCATGTCCGAGCCACGCCAACTTCCAAAACACCCATTACCACCCTAAACACCCCAGTAATACAGGGGCCTTGATAAGTAGAATAGGGTTTTGGTGCCCATTATACCATGATTCTAATAAGTATCCCCCAAAATAGTATTGGTAATTACTTAGGCCCCTACATTAGCACCCTAAGCACCCAAGTAAATTCCAAACCCTAAACCCCGAGGCCTCCTTTCCTAAGACCTTGGTGGCGAAGCCAAAACCCTAAACCCTAAACCTTAAACTTAACCCTAAAGCACCTCTTGCTGGCCCTCCGCTGCGGCGCTGGCGTCCGTATCATGTCGAGCCTTGAACCCATCCGGTGATAGGGTTTAGGGTTTGCGGTGCTTTTGGGCTTAGGCTTAGACTTTAGGGCCCACGGCTTCAGGGTCGAAACAATCGTGGTTTCAGGCTTCGGATCCAGCGTTTATGGCTCAGGGTTCAAGGCTTTGCGGTTTCTGGGCTACTGGCCCGAAGTCGCTCTGCTGCAAACCTCAGAGGCCTAGACTACCTATCCCAAATCTCTTCAGCCACTTTAGAGCCGAATCCACAAATGGATGAGGGCTTACCTATAGTCTCCATTGTAGTTCCTTTTTGGGGGGATACCTTATAGAATCCTTAATATATAATTGGTTAAACCAAAAAAAGGAACTACAAGGGAGACTATAGGTAAACCCTAAACCCTGAACCCTAAACCCTAAACCCTAAACGCCCTAAACGCCAAACCCTAAACCCTAAACCCTAAACCCCTTAACCGGGCTAAGTGTTTAGAGTGGAGTGCCTGAGACCCAGCGGGGCTAGAGGGCAATGAGGCTTTCGTACTTTAACTAACCCAGAGGGTCCCTAAACCCTAAACCCTAAACCCTAAACCCTAAACCCATTAGGCCCCAAAAGACCATCCCTATTATGGTTTTGGGGACCTAATTCCATAATAGTAGTATATATGGACCCTCTGGGTTAGTGGGAAAGGGGCTTTGGGGTATAGTATTGTCGACGGGTAAGGGCCTGTAGGGGGATATCAGTAATCCTTATACAGACCCTTTTGGATCACCTACAAACAACACCATTACAATACAATGCGAAATCCTGCAAACCTTTGTGTTCACAAAAACGACAAAGCCTCGTAAAAACCTGAAAAACAGACCCTGGAAAAAGCTTCGAAAATCCAAAAAAAAACCTAGGGAAGCTTATAAGACCCCTGAACACATACACTCTAAACTCTGCACCTTAAAACCTCAACCGTAATCCCCTACATCGTACACCCTAAAACCTAAATCCTCAACCCCGAACCCCTACATCCTACACCCTACACCCTAGACCCTAAACCCTAAACCCTACACCCCAAATCCCTTGGACCCCACGAACCGCTCCTCTTCGAGCCGCTGGAAGCCACGAAGTCGCGACAGGGCTCCTTGCGTTTCGCCACGCTTCGGTTTAGGGTTGGGGTTTAGGCTTTAGGGTTTAGGAGTTTAGGGATTTGAGGTTTAGGGTTTAGGGTGTAGGAGTTTAGGGTTTGGGAGTTTAGGAGTTTAGGGGTTTGGGTTTAGGGTTTAGGGTTTAGTGTTTAGAGTTTAGGGTGTAGGGTGTTCGTGGTTTAGGGTGTAGGGTGTTCGTGGTTTAGGGTTTAGGGTTTTCGGGGTTTAGGGTTTATAGAGTTTGGGGTAGGGTTTCGGGAAAATGTTATGCTTCGGAAAGGTGTCAGGATTCCTATCAAGGATCTAGGCTTTAAAAGGGTTTAGGGTTCCTTTAAAGGACGTAGGGCTTGGCGCTCCCTAAAGGGTTTAGTGTTCCTGCAAAGGGTTTATGGTGGCGGGTTTTACTTTAAGGTATAGGAACCCTTAGGCTTCACGGCTTGGGGTTGACATAGGAGTTTTGGGGTTTAGGACAGACTTTGACCCCTGAACCCTCGCAGAACAAGCCACAACCCGGGGCCCGATTTAGGGGTTTGGGGTCTTTGGGTTTAGGGTTTAGGGTTTAGGGTTTGGGGTTTAGGGTTTAGGGTTTAGGGTTTAGGGTTTAGGGTTTGGTTTCACCGCCTGCTTGTCGCAACTTGCCCATTCCACGCGCCAGGACTTCGATCGCCGCTCGTGCCTGCGGGAGAAGTGATACAGGGGGCTGGATATCAGGAGAGGGTTTTGGGGTATACTTTAGTTTGATTATAATCAGGAATCCTAGGGAGTATCTGTGGAAATCATTCTAGCTTTTCTAGACACAGCCAGCATGCCTCTAACTTAAACCGTAGTTGAGCCCTAAACCCTAAACCCAAACCCGACACACTGCCACACCTCTCCATAAGCCGTTTCCCTTGAATTGCGATCGCGAAATCCAAAGCCCGCGAGCCATGAACACACCCCAAAACCAGACCCTGAACCCCTGAAGTGTTCAGGGTTTAGGGTTTAAGGGTACTGTCGGCTCTGAACACTAAACCCTCCAGCAAGCCGCACTTCTTTGAATCGATATTCCTGATCCAAAAACCCTAAACCCCTAAATCCCTGAACCCTAAACCCCCCAACCCTTATAAACCCTAAACCCCTAAATCCGTAAACCCTAAACCCTAGAACCCTTATAAGCCCTAAACCCCTAAATCCGATCCCTAAACCCAAAGCCCTACAACACTTATAAACCCTAAACCCCTAAATCCCTAAACCCCAAACCCTACAACCCTTATAAACCCTAAACCTTACAACCTTTATAAATCCTGAACGTACAATCCTTAAAAACCCTGAACTCTAAAACCTTTATAAATCCTGAATCCTACAACCCTTATAAGCCCTAAAACCTTTCTAAATCCTAAATCCCTAAATCTCTAAACTCAAACCCTACAACCCTTATAAACCCTAAACCCTAAAACCTTTATAAACCCTAAATCCCCGATCCCACCCGCCTCCTCCCGGCCCTCCGCCGCGGAGGCCGCCTCAGGATCAGGAGCCTCCCGAAGCCTCAGAGGCCATGGGGTTTAGGTGTTTGCGATTTAGGGTTTAGGTGTTTGCGGTTTAGGGT